TATTTTTGTGAAAATACTAAAATTACCTTTTGTTATGTAAATTGACTAAAATACCCTCAACCCTTTCCCCATTATATATACTCTAACCAATCAGCAAGCGTGATTTCTATCATCATATTATCCCAATGAATTTTTATGATTTAAAAAAATTGCATGATTATTTTGTTATAATATTAATCATAATATTATCCCTCATTTGATTATATAATCGAGTTTTTATAATTTTTATAATTAAAAATAATTTACTATAATAAAAATTACAATCAATAAAGTCAATATCAAAATTTCATCAATTTCTATCTTCTTTGCTATTGTCTGTCGTGCACAACGTCACCCGACCACTCTTCACACATCACCATTCATATATAAAATTTAAATATTATTTTATATAATTGAATAAATTTGGTCTTAATTTAGTATATTTAAATATTAATTTAGTATTAATTTGATAAAATTAAATATTAATTTCATATTTATTTGATAAAATTTAATGTTAATTGAATAAATTTGAATGTTGTTTTAATGAAATGAATGTTCATTTGGTGTTAAATAAAGAAATAACATTAATTTGATAAGGTTAAATATTAAATTAATAGAATTTAATATTCTATTTAATATATTAAAAATTGAATATCAATTTGGTGCTAATTTGAAGAAATTAAATAGTAATTTAATGTTAAATTAAAGAAATAATATTAAGTTGATGAAATGAAATTTTTAATTAATATAACTAAATGTTAATTTGATAAAATTAAATATCAATTTTGTATTGATTTGATGAAATGAAATGTTAATTTAGTTTAAATTAAATAAATGATATTAATTGATAAAATTAAATATTAAATTGATGAAAATAAATGTTAATATACTAAAACTAAAAGAGCTTGCATTAAAATTTTAGAATCGGTCGAAGGTGGTGTTAAAGTTATGTCTATTTACAAGATGTGTAAATAAAATTTACCCTATAAAATTCTCAAGAGTTTTCCTGTAAATCAATTATCGTTGTTAATGTGTTATTCAAACAAGCACTAATAGAGGGTGACAATGAAATTTCAAATTCTGGAAGGAGTATTATTAAATTTAGACCTATCTACATGAAATATAGATGAAATTTTTCCTCAATTAAATAGAAAGTAGCATTGCTCAATTAGGAGTGTTCACTCTACCCTTTGAGTATGAAATATGGTCTTCCAGTTTCTTACCCGATACTTTGCAGAAGAATTTTTTCTTAGCTTACCCTACCTGATTAAGTGTGGTATTCCTATCTGATTTTTAGCCAAATTAATCGGGTAGAAAGTTGGGTAGGAAATTGGGTGAAGAGTTTTATAATTATTAATTTTAGATCATTTTAATAATTCAATTAAATAACATTCACTAATTTAACAACACAATAAATCAATAACATTAAAATCTAAAACAATTACAACACCAGTTATAATAAAACACAAAAAAACATAAACATCAATCCATCTTAATTGTTGCACAAATACAATAATAATTATTTTAACTTTAAACAATATGGTTAGATCATTTTAATAATTCAATTAAATAACATGCATCAATTTAACAACACAATAAACCAATAACACTAAAATCTAAAACAATTACAACAACAGTTACAATAAAACACCAAAAAACATAAACATCAATTCATCTTAATTGTTGCACAAATATAATAACAATTATTTTAAGTTTAAACAATATGGTTAGAGAATTAGTGGTTTTACTTTATATATATATATTAATTCGGGTAGGGTAGGATAGGAATACAGAAATTAATTGTTATTCCGCATTCCTACCCGATTTAATCAGAAGACCAAAAATTATTTTGTATTTCTACCCGATTTTTTCGGCTAGCCGTTCAATAAGGTCGGTATGTCGGGTAGGATAGAAAATTACGATTAATCAAAAATTTGAACAGCTTTATGCTCAATATTGGATTGCCATGTTCCTATCTCTCTATATATATCTTAGAAAAAAAAATTAACAACAAAATTATTATATCCGTAGTCTTAAATAATCTCATTACGTTTCCAACAACTTTCGCTGATAATGTTGACGATTTCAACAAAGATATCCAGAAAATAATAAATGATTTCCAGATTAAAAATGAGGCTCCCACGACGAATTTCAAGAAACTTCAGACCCATTGTATCCAATCGATTCCAGTCATATATATCAGGGAATATTCTCTTTCTTATTTCTACACTTCCTTCCCACATCGAATAGGAAGAGCCAAATCAAAAATTTGATTTCGATTTCTCAACTCTTCTTGTTAAAAGGTCAAAAATGTAAAGATGCTGAAGCAGCTACAATTACCTTAGCAGGAGCAAGAGCTGCAGTCGGCATTAATCGGTTACACAACCGGTCTATTTCGACATGGTGTTATAAACAGGGGTGGCTCAAGCCAATTTAAGGTCTAAAATAGAAACATTAAATAGAAGTTTTTTATTTTTAATATTATTTTTTTTAAAAAAAGTAATTTATTTTTAATTTTTTATGTGAGAGGAAGACAAAAGAAAGATGTGTTAATGTTGTCGAGAAAGAGATTTTAACTTTTGTTTTCGTTTTTTACCACAGACAGATAGAATATTTAATTTCAACTTTTATTTTATTTTTATTTTTATTTTTACCGAGAGTGAGAGAGAGAGAGAGAGAGTGGGTGAGAGTATATATGAGTTGAACTTTGAATATTTTTTTAATTTTTAATATTATGGATTAAATTATAGGCCCAAATTATTGCAATAAAAATTTTGATTGAATTTAATTTTTTGGGACTTTTTGTAAGGCTTAAAATTTAATGAATTTTTTTTTTGTGCTAGTGATGTACCTAAAATTATGGGGCCTTCTTAAAATTTGTGGTCTAAAAGCCCATGTTTTTTTTTCATATGTATATCTTATGCATATTTTCTCTACCAAAACTATCTCATCATCTATTTCTATTACATATTTAATCATTTAATATTTGATTAATTTGTAGTTTAACATAATTTTTATTTCAGACATTATCCATACACGATAGTATACACAAATTGAGAAAAATTTTCAATATTTTTTTAAAAATAATTGATATAAATAAATTTTAAATGATGTAATCAAACAAATGAAGGAAATAAAAAGTATTATTTAATATAGTGGGATCTATTTTTTAGACCTTAAAATTTTATGTTTTATCGTGCCTTTAAATACGAGTTTTGGCTAATATGTACATATACTATTGATTGAAAAAGAGTGTGGCTGATTTTTCGCTCTGTTGTATTCTGCTTTCTTCCCCAAGGATGGCAAAAAGTGTCTCCCCGTGGTACTCAAAAAAGATACTAATTACAACAATAAAATCTTTAATGTTTCAATGGAGTTTCAATTTAGCCATTCAATTTGAATTTTTTAAATTTGTTCTTAAAGCATAGTAACTACTTTCCAGAAAAAGGGGAGCGTTGAACTGCACCATTATGGTGGTAGAAACAATAGATTTTCCAACTGCAGTACAATATCTCGTTTTTTATATTGGAGCGGTTATTACTGAATATTTTATGTACCATAAAGAATACACATTAATCATTTATGATGATCCCATTTTTTTTTTCTTTCTTTATTTTTACGAGTCTATTATCTTTCTTTGTATCAAAATCAGATAAAACAAAATAGAATTTTTCATTACACATTGCAGAATTTTTTGACGAACAAATATACCTTGTTATCGAAGTTATGTGTTGGCCACATTATAGTTGGTTATCGACCCGAGTTACTTGAGTTTTAACTCATATTCTAATCGAGTTGAGTTTGAACAATTTTTTAAATTCGTTTATATAAAAAATAGTTGAGCAACTCGGACTCGACTCGACTTGGATTCGATTCATTTTGGGTTTAGCTCATTTTTTAAAAGAGTCGAACTTGAAATTTTTTTAGGGAAATTTGGAGGCCGGTTCCCCTATATAGACTTATTTGGACTTAAGTCCGTCAATGAAACTTATTTGTTATGAAATCCCTTTTTTGTTAATTTTACCATATTATCCATTTCCTTTAGAAGTGAAATAAGACTAAAAATTAAAAATTCATAAATATTAAGAGTTTAACTAGCATTAAAATATTTTCTCTCTCATATCTATCTATATCCATATATAGGTTAAGAGTTTAACTAAAATTAAAATTTTCTCTTTATAAAAAAATAATAACATTCAAATAGAAAAAAAGGTTATCATTTAAACATAAAAAATAATACATTTAAACACAAAAAAATAATAACATTTAAACATAAAAAAAATTAAAACATTCAATATTAATATTTTTTAAACATAACAATAGTAACATGTTCAATAAAAATATTAACATGTTCAACAAAAAAAATAACATGCTTAACAAAAACTGTAACATATTTAACCATAATTATTTCTCTCAAATTTAAACACAAAAAATAGTACCATTCAAATACAAAAAATTGTAATATTCAAAAAAAAAAATAGTAACATTAAATATTATTATTTCGAAAAATAATAGTAGTAATATGATCAACAAAACAATAATATGCTCAAAAATAATAGTACATGAACAATAATATACTTAATAAAAACAGTAGCATGAACAGTAACATAATAAAAAAAATAGTAACATATATATATATATATATATATATATATATATATATATATATATAAGAGAAAAAAATTGAATGTTAGTCAAATTTTTAACCTATATATGTATACAAATAGAAATGAGAGAGAAAAGATTAACTTTCTTGCAAGGAAGGATATTTTTGAGATAAAAAAAAAGTGACTTAAGTTATTATATATAATTTTAAACATGGATTTAGCCCCTTATAAATTTTCTTATAACACTTATCTCCAAACAAGTACATCTAGAAGACTCATTTCCAATTTTCACATTTTTTTAAGCTCATTTAAAAAAAATGAGTTCAACATGCTCGATTATTAGCCCCAGAGTTTAATTATAGAATTTTTGTATAAGGAATTAGGTGTATATTTTAAGATTATAAATTATAAGTAATGAAACTAAATTATAGTGACTTAAGTTATTCTTTCACTGCTGCTTCTTCCACCGCTGTCTTCTCTCACAACAAAACCTCTGCTTCTGGTCTTAGACCCAATGTGAAGACTTTATCCTCTTCCATAATGGGTGCACAATTTAGTATAAACCGATCAACAAGAAGGTGTCACATTAGAAAACGTTGTCGTAGTGGCGTCACATGCTTGTCTACTTCTCCTTTTGTATTTCCATCAGCGCTTCTCTTCGACTGCGATGGCGTGCTCGTGAATCCTGAGAAGGACGGCCATCGCATTTCTTTCAACGACACTTTCGCTGCAGTACACTCACTCTCTCTCCTCCTTTTTTTTTTCGTATTTGTTTTTTTTGCAGTTTTGGTGAATGATATGTTAATTTTGTTCACAAATTGCGGATAACTAACCTTCCAATTTGGGCAGTTTTGAACTAATTTGGCATTTCCGGAATTGAGTTTTGTGTAACTTTGGGGATAGAAGGGCCTTTGTTCTTGTATTTAAGTTAATGCTTCTAGGGGTATTGTCGATTGATCATATACTTTTTGTTGACTGTCCAGAGGGAATTGGGCGTTACCTGGGATGTGGATTTGTATGGTGAATTGCTCAAAATTGGTGGTGGAAAAGAGAGGTCATTGAATTTTTTGTGGAAGTAATATTTGTTTTTACTCCCACAAGCCTTGGAATCTGTTTGAATTTTTTTTTTAGGGGGTATGGTGATTTCGTTCATCTGTGCTATTGTAGTTGGTATGGTTGAAATAGTATTTAGTCTGCTGAGGAATTGCTTGAGTTGAAATTTGAAGTGATTGATTCTGGCTTGTTTAGGATGACTGCCTACTTTAACAAGACAGGCTGGCCAGAAAAGGCGCCAAAGAGCGAAGTAAGAAAGAAAGGATTTTATAGCTTCACTTCACAAGCAAAAGACGGAATTGTTCATGGCCCTTATTGAGAAAAAGTTGCTGCGTCTCCGACCTGGTGTTGCAAAGTAAGTTTCTGTGTGAATTTTTGCCTTAACTAAGCTGCATTTCTTAGCTTGATGGTTCCCTTTATTTGTGGTTAAAGTTGTTTGTTGTAGATGTATGGCCATTGATTACTCGTCACGTTATGCGTCATATATGCTCTTTGTAAATTTCAAAGCTCAAGAAGTGTTTGCCCAAGTGCAAGAGTCATTACTTCATCTGATTAAAACAAAACCAAACGAAAAAAGTGCATGAGGTATTGGAGTAAGTATTGGAGAACAATCATCAGTTTTCAAACATTAGCGTGAAGACATGAATACAGTTGCATTTTTCTTCTCATTATCATAAATATATCTAATTGTGCTAGTAAATTGAATTACTGCATCCCACTGGTTCATTCAACTGCACAGTACCAGCTTCATATAATTACACTCAATGCGTTTACAAGCTTTTGAATATAGTTTTGTGCCTGGACCTCAAGTTTTGGTCCCTTAATGACATTAACCTTGTGTCTGAGTTGTAACTCCTAATTAGGGTTTGTACTTTGTAGGATATCTGCTAAATATGGTTTATTACCCTTTGACTTTCCTTGGTGATAGTAACGTTATTCCTTTGTCTACCTGTGGTTTGTATGTTTTGTAGTCGCTTGTCACTTTGTCTACAAGAACCTCTGACACGTTCAGAATGTGGGATGGGTACTTAATATTGACAGGATAACATGAGTTATTATCTTAGGGAAATTGCGTAAATTACTTTTGTAGCCACATGTCACTTGGTAAGTGATTGCATAGTTGTTAGGATTTGTCTGTGTTTCTCTCAAGGAAATTACATAAATTGCATATTATCATTATTTACATTGGGCAAAACCCAATCTGCTGTTGCCTTGTAGTGAATGTGGGGGTTGATTTGGAGCTCGGGTTCGATGAACGGGGCCGCAAGGGACTTGTTGAGGTTGGAAACTGAGGTTTTCTTCAGAGGTGCCGGCACAGGTGGAACGATTTTGCAGATTCCATAGTTTGAGGAATGCTTATGCATGTACAAAGAGGAATGCTGATTTAAAATGTACAGTGGTGTTGGCAAACCATAGTCATGGGCATTGGTTTTCTTTTCTTTTTATTGACAACAAGACACATCGTAAGTTATTTTATGTTCCTCTCAAAGTAATTTACAGTTTTGTGGTGAGCACTACTATACTCGTTACTTCGGAGGCTCACTTTTTTGTTGGTGACACAGGGCATGAGTAAACCAAAACTCTTTTGGATTTTGGCAGCTGCCCCATTAGCATCAGTTATTCTCTCAACCCTTCTGGTCACCCTCCTTAGATCGAAGGCTCATGGGATTGCAACTGTAAGAAACGATTACTTGAGCTATATGTTTCCTAATAGAATCCGATGTAATACCATTAAAAAAAATATCTTTCTGCAGATAGGGCACTTGCCAAGGGGTCTGAATCCACCATCATCAAACATGCTATATTTTCATGGCGCTTATTTTGCAGTTGCTATCAAAACTGGCATTGTAACAAGAATCTTATCTCTCACAGTAAGTGGTTAGATAAGGAGCTTCTATCTCAATTCATATCGTTATTGAACTTGGTTTTGGATAGATAGCCCTTCATTAAATACCTTTTGCGTTCACATAAAAATGTCACTGGACATTGTCATTTCTTGTGGTGTAGGAAGGAATTGCGGTGGGAAGGACATTCGCTGCTTTGAAAAAGTACCAAGTTGATGGTAACAAAGAAATGATGACTATCAGTCTTATGAACATGGCTGGTTCTTGCTCATCCTGCTATGTTACTACAGGTGATTATCCTCTTTTCTTTGTAAATCTACTTAAAATTATAGTCACGAAACACACTATTAACTTCCTCCACTTCAACCAAATTTTCAGGGTCATTTTCTCGGTCTGCTGTAAATTACAATGCTGGAGCGCAACAGTGGTTTCAAACATAATAATGGCATCGGCTGTGCTCATCACTCTGTTGTTTCTCATGCCACTGTTTTATTACACTCCAATGTCATATTGGCAGCAATTATCATAACTGCTGTAATTGGGCTAATTGATTATAAGGCTGATTTTCAATTGTGGAAAGTTGATAAACTCGATTTCTTGGCTTGCTTATCTTCCTTTCTCGGTGTTCTTTTTGTTGCAGTGCCCCCTTGGCCTTGCCATTGCAGTAAGCTTCTCTTTTAAATACTTGGTTAATTTAAAATTTATAGGGAAAACATCTATATAAAGGAATTTGCTGGTAAATAACCAGCTTTGATGATGTTCATATAGCTTTTACAACATATATGACTATATGACATGTCTGGTAGGTATCTGACATTATTGGCTTAAAATGCAGGTTGGAGTTTCAGTTTTCAAGGTTCTCTTGCATGTTACCAGACCAAACACTGTGATATTAGGGAATATCCCCCGTAGTCAAATATATCAAAGTCTTGGCAGATACAGAGATTCTCTAAGGATTCCTTCATTTCTTATACTTGCTGTTGAGACTCCTATATACTTTGCAAATCAACTTACCTACAAGAAAGGTTAGTTCAAACAGAGTGCCTCCGTCATCTCAATATTAATCATTGGTTAGCTAAACCACAGTTTAAGATAGTGGGAAGGTATACTCCAAAAATCTATATAATAAAGTAGTTTACGATTCAAAATCTCAAAAGATAAACAAAATGACTTTTGTTATTCACAGTTGAGATTGCCATAAATTTTTACTTTAAAGTTAATCTAACGGTTATATTTACGCCCTAAATTTAATAGGAAAAATAGGCCCCTAAAGGTGTGTTTGAAGTGATTTTTTTAAAAGTACTTT